TGAGCTCTTTTGTGTTAAAACAATATATACTAATTTTTAAAGTATCAAATTGAATTTTTGTTCAATAAAAATCTCAAATGTGACCGTAGCTTTTTTTTCCCCAAAACTTTGTCTTCATACTATAATGGACATATTGTGTATGTCAGTATCCATGTATGTAACCAAAACTTCTGCACCGTCTATTGAATAGCATCACAAACAAAATTGATAAAAATTTTACAATTTGAGTATTCAAGATTCATACAATTAGAAAAATAACTGTGGTAAGTGCAACAACCATTTCTTTATAGTAAAACACAATTTTAAACAAAAGTACTCTCCTCGCAACTAGAACATGACTTTCACTAGGACTGTACGTGAGGATTTGATATCTTAATTGAGGTAATTTTTAAATGTAGTACTGAGAAACTGGAATTCTTACAAAAAAAGTATTATTTCAATAAACGGTACCATTTATAAGATATAAAAACATTACAGTTTATATCAGTAAAATGTATGCAAATTTTGAGCTCTGTACATTTAATCATTTTGGTGCAATGAGTTTCATATAACTAAAAAGCACAATCTGAACGGTTTTTCCTGTGTAGTATTTCCCAGAAAAAAATCCGTTTTTAGAAAATATTCATAGAAAATATATTTTTCTAAAATTTTTACAATGAGGTATAAATACTATAATTACTAGCACAAACAGCCATTTCTTCTAGTATAGGTAAATGTTACAGAACATACCTTTTTTACCTTCCTCTGCTAAAGATTTTAAAACCTCTGCAACAATGGCTTTGTTCATACACATATCTTCAAAACTAATGTCTTCTATTCCTAAAGACCTAGCTAAATGATGCAGCTGTCTTTGATTGGGTACCACCAAAGCTACAACATAAGATTTGAAGCTATCTCCATAAACACAGATATTATCTACCAGTGGATGCCTCTTCAGCTCTGATTCCACCTTACCCAAAGATATGTATTCCCCAAACTGGAGTTTCACAAAATCTTTCTTACGATCTGAGTAAGAAAAAGAAAGAACTAAAAATCACAAACTGAATTGCAAGGCTTTACTTTTGAAATATTAACAAGTATTTCTTCATATAACACAGATATAACCTAACTCACTACTTAAAAATCACCTGAAATAACTCACAAAATATTAAATGTAATAGCATATTAAAGAAAAAAAACTTTAGCAACATTAATAATCATAGGAATTAATGTAACAGTTCCTTGTTTTAGCCAACTTTATTAGAATTTTAGGGCACAAGAAATATTCCAAATTGCTACTTAAAAAATACAAAAGTTGGTGGTACTTTTTCAGTGAATTTGCAAAATTGCAACATATTTGTCAACCAATGCATATTTCTAAACCACACCCTATTACCTCAGGTACTTGATCTCAGTGAAACATGCCAACATATATAGTTAAATTTGAAACAGGATGCATGTTTTCAAGCATCTTTTTGTTAGTATATTATTTAGCACAAGAGCAATTGTTTTCCAGCCAATGAATCACATTTGACATCTTTACATGCTTAATCTATTAAAATAAAATTTAATATAACAACAAAGTGTCCCTCACATAATATCAAAAAAAAATTCAATCACTGTCTTGGAAAATTCCTAAGCTAGTCATTAAACATGCACTTCTTTAGATTTTCATATTTCATTCTTGCACCTCCCATCATCAAAGCAACAAAGTTCCAGACAGAGCAAACTACTATGGAAGAATCTGGTAAACTAGCAAATCACAAAGGAGTTCTTAAATTTTTTGTTTTGCAGAGCTGAAAATTTCATTAAACATATCACTATCATTGTACATCAATTATGAATTTTTCTTTTGAAGAATGTTTAACTTGCTAAAGAAAGTTTAAAAACATTCACAAATGATCAATTCCTATGCTTGTGAGTTTAAAATAAACAAATGTTTTGTGACCATGTAAAACCTGAGATGTCACAAAAACATCCAGCTTCTTTACAAACTAAACTGTGAAATATAGAACTCAGGCTAGAGATTTTCTATGCTATAATAGTTCTTCAGATTTATTAGTGAACATGGCATATGTTCAGCATTTTTGAGACCTACTGCTCGATCTTTTTCACCTTCATCATCGATGTTAAGACACAGTTTCAATCTAGCTAATAACCAAATACAAGTAATTGAACAATTGTATTACCCACTAGTAGCTGAAAAGTTATACATCTTGTTTAAACAAAAAGAAAAAGACATTAAAATATTTGGTTTGTTTTTAAAATTACATCAAATCAACCTAGGCATTATACATTAACCTTAGTAATGGATCAAGATAGTTTTAACTGAACTGAACAATATTAATAATTTATTTTCACTACATTTTGTGGTTATCATTAAGAGTAAAAAATAATAATAATAATTTTCCTACCAATAATCTTAATGGTTCCATCAGGATACATTTCACCAATATCACCAGTACAAAACCAACGTATACCATCTTTTTCAAAGAACGCTTCTTTAGTTAATTCTTCATTTCTGTAATAGCCTAGGGTCACACTTCCTCCACCCACAAAAATCTCTCCACGGGGATGAGGTTTGTCATTTATAGAATAACCTCCTGAGTCAGAAAAACAGCTTTCATATTTTCAACAAAAACTTAAGCAAAACATTTTCTCAGCTCAGAAAACTTCCAAATTAGAAATACCACCACACATTTATTACTTCTCCTAAACAACAATCCAATTTATTCTACAGCCATGTAAAACTTATTTTGGTTGAATAGAAAAAGATTATTATGCAGTAATCTGGTTAATTCAAAATCACACATGAATATGAAAATTGATAACACCACCATCACAAGTGTGAAAGTGCAAATTTCAATTAATTAGTTATTCACATCTATAGTAACAATTTCCACCATCCAATTACTTTGTCCATGTAAATCCCCAAGGTATGTAACTATAATGTTAAATGTTCTAACTTCTTGATGCAATTTAGTTAAGGGTATTGATTTGCAAGTGCAGTTGGCCCATAAAACGACCCCCTTATGAGTGTGTTATATTAGAGAATTTTTCCAATTCAATGTTTCCTGTTCTATATTTATAGCATGCAAAGCACAAAATATTGGTGTTTCAAAGAAAGATATCAGAGGTGTTGTTCAGGGAGGGAAAAAACAGGTTATTCTATTATACCAAATTCAACATTTAGAATAATTTCAGCTTCTTTGCTTTCACTTTGTATAATCAAGTAGAAGTCACAGAATAACAAGTAGTTTTGAAAGAAAATTATTTATGGATCAAAATTAAAATTTTCTGACCTCAATAGAATTCAAAACAAAGAATGAGACTGGACACAACACAAGTTAAACAAGGTGAAACCATTTGTATTTCCAACAAATAACAATCAAGGTATACACAAATCTTTTGGGCACTTTTACTGAAGAGCTATGTAATCAATCAATGCCTTTCTCCTCAGGATGCAGATGCTCCCTCATCCATCTGATGGTCACTCTCACTACAAAACAAGGAATGTTGTATCCCTCGGGGATCACCTGACTTGTAAGTGGAAAAGATAAAAATATTTCCATACAGTACGTTAACAGTTACAGCAACCTTTTCCACAAGAAAATACATGTCACACCCTTGTTGACTGACCTAATTCTGTGAGTAACTAGGACAAGATGAACTTAGTGGCTCCCTTGACTAACTCTCTATATTAAGAACAAAATATTTAAATTGCAGAAAGATTTTGAAAAATATTATATATATCTGAGCAAAAAAGGTAAGAAACACATAGTATGTCCGCATTCCACACACAATGATTATTATTAATTTACTAATTACTTTCTTTTACCTTCTTCCCAGTCTTTAAGTTGGATGAAACAGTCAGAAACAGGTGCTCCTACTCTTCCAGAGCTCATATCTTGTACTATAATAATAATAATGAAAAAAAGATTCTGTTAAATAAATTGTTTTGGAAGTATAACTGGGACTGACTTTGTAACCATTTTGTGCTTGTCATAGTTTTCATGCTATAACTTTTAAATTTGTAAGCACAGGTTAATGAAATTTGGCAGATTACCAGTAAACATTAAAATGCTTTCATATTCAAAATATCAATTTTTTTTTATCAAGTCTTAAGGTTTATAAAGCAATGTTTTTCTCATGTCTTTTTTTTTCTCGCATGTTGCCTATCCAACTAAAAGTAATTTTCATTTTCAGATTAAAAATACTTTTGTGCATCAGAAAATTTTCAAATTCAAATGGAAATTATATAATGTCCAGATAGTTATCAAACGTTTCTTATAAAAAAAAAAAATTATTTTATCTGTTATTTTCAGTAACGAATCTCTGTACAGGTTTGTTTGATTTGACCGGTCACATAACCACATTAAAAACATTAGGAAATAAATATAAATTATGCCCTTTTCGTTCTAGAATGACTAAAAATTATAAAATAAAAACAAATGTTTAGACTAAATAGATTAAATTTCATAACATTACACATTTATATACATATTTATTATTTTTATTATATTGACCTTTCAGCCATGCCTGGCTAGCAATACATAAGTTACAATATAAAACCGACATTTAGTTTTTACAAAGTGACCTGTCTTGGATGTGTTTTAGTAGACTAGTATTTTGTAAAATACAGTCACATTACTATTATTATACATTATATACGTATACAGATTATTGCTA